TAGCATATTGGGATAATATGGGGAACATGGAAAAGAAAGTGGAAACTACTATAGTATATTGGGATAATATGGGGATAAATCTTAGCTGGGGACACGAAGCTGCCAGCGCGGAGATCTGCTCATTAACGCTGCCCGCATGGATTTCACGCAGGACCAACCACGGATGCACAAGACAAGAGTAGCAGTTTTTGGTGTTTGAACCAAGTCAGGTCTAAAAATTCTGCTATAGAACAACAGGCGTGGATTCGAGAGCTAGCGTTTGAGAATATGAAATACTCTTACTCCATATTGGGCACTCAATATGGGACACACAAATAAAATACTACTCAACTGGAAAACAGCACGACATTAGCTACAGCGACAGGCGCGCAGAGAGCTGCACTGCTGTACCCTGCCAACAGCGGTTTGCAGGTTTGCAGGACTTGACTCCTGCTGCCAGTGCTGGGACCTGCACTCTGCTCAGTAGGTCTCCAGCACGCGCAATGCCTGTGCAAGATGTATGGCCACGCGCAACATGCAACTGCAAGCCGCCTGCCAGACGTTGGCAGCTTCTGATTGCAAACCGACATGTTGTTGCCTGGAACACTGCTTGAAGCAACCGCTCGTAAATCACGAAGAAGACGGTGCACCTGGATCGAAACGGTTCTAAACCAACGATTAGGATCATCAGAGAAAGGTGCAATGTCTGCGTTCAGTTGTCATCATGAACTCTATCCTTGCTAACAGTACCTGTCATATGATGAGCTGGACGAAGAAGACAAACATAGATAAGCACTCATGTTAACAAACATCTGGAGAATTCATCCCCAAACCTTAATTTTTGGACGACCCAGATTTTAGTAAAAAAACATATATATATATATAGGGACCAATAGAAGGATCCCTTTTTGCTTCTCTACCAAACACCAAATAGTCAAGGCCCCTTCATTGCTCAGCGCTACTTGAACAATTCTGGCCCCCCCCCCTCCCCTCCCAGCTTTCACCTAACAGTTTCAAAGCAAAATATGTTCTTCGGATATCAGATTAATTAACATGCCTGTCCGAAGATGAAGTCCTCTGAGGACCTGTTCCACTGATCTCAGCCCTGGGCCAAATCAGCTTCCGGCAGACGATCAGGGTAAACCCCTTGTGCAGGAGGTCAATCCACAGTAACACTTAACGCAATGTCCGTACAGTAGTAGTAGTAGTAGTAGTAGTAGTAGTAGTAGGCGCCCCCCCCCTACCAACTACGTTTGTTTATATGTG